GTCTCTCTCACAGTCCCTGAACCACATTATTTTCCCTACAGCCTAGCCCACCCTGCAATGCTAAAGCCCTAAATGAAGTAAGTCTAGGTTTTTTCTCAATCTCCTATCTCACTGGGGCTCCTTTCTATGAACTGCGCATTGTCTTTGCTTTCTGTTGGGGGTGATTCACACCTTACAGTGTTGGTCGTAGTATACTATCCAAAAAATGAAACGCATATGCGTGGTTATGCGTTTCTTTTTTTAATAGTATATATGCGATTTAATGGCTCCCTATTTGTTGGCTACTACTAACTATTAAATCTCAATTCAATCAAGCTGTGTTATGCTTCATAGGAAAAAGTGCCATGACAGACACAATCATGTGAGACAATTGTCAACATAAACAGTATACCCAAGTGATTTAAGATTGTTTTATGTTCAGATACTATTTGAAATGTAGTCAGTCTCACATCACAGTCCCTGAACCACATTATTTTCCCTACTGCCTAGCCCTCTCTGCAATGTTTACACCCTAAATAAAGCCCTAAGTGAAGCAAGTCTAGATAGTTATGAATCTCCCATCTCACTGGGTCCCCTTTTCAATTTAATGGGGATTATTTGTTACTATAATATTTTTTATATATTCAGAGGCTAAGCGTTAGTGTACACTTATACCCACTGGTCAGCTGTCGCCATGCCTGCAGTGCATTGCTGTCCATGACGCCGTCAGATTCCACTCCTTCACAAACTTGCTTGAGTGAGAGAGTAAGTATGATTTGTCGCCTCTTTTAGCAATATTCCAGTAATTTCACGGTAGTGGAAACCAGAAATGGACTTCACACATTGTACCTATCTGGGGAATCGAACCCGGGTTTTCAGCGTGATGAGCGGACGCTTTAACCATTAGGCTACCAACTTGAAGAACATATTATCAGGCAAGCATTATGCAAATACAGATGACATTTCTGCTGTGGAAATTCTTTATATCCCTGAGAGTAAGTCTTCTTGTTAAGTATGTCCGTGAAGGTCCGGGTTAGAATGAACCTTCAGTAACCCATGCTTGTCGTCAGAGGCGACTAACGGGATCGGATGGTCAGGCTCGCTGACTGGGTGGACACGTCATCGTATCCCAATTGCGTAGACCGATGTTCATGCTGTTGAGCGCACCCTCGTGACCCCCAACCCCTCTCTGGATCCGCCTATGACCACCGGACATCCTTGAAAGCCTATAGAGCTTTATTAGCCACCCTCAGTAAAAGCCTTTCCTACCGTTTGACTTTTAAAATATGTTTACGCGCGTAATTTGAACAACAAAATGGAAATTGCGTAAAAGCCAAAAGTATGGACACACAATAGTATTTTTATTTGAAGACCGAACTGATTTCGGCTCCTTCAGTTTTATTTCAACGTTTCAGGAAAAGTGCCACTACACCGATGAAGCTACGGCGTGAAAATAGAACAATATTACATGATAGTTTCTTAAACAACTTTTTCTGTCATCGATCATAAACGTCTGATTTCAGATCCTGTTGGGTACAGAGGTTTCAGGGCCATGTGTCTTATTTATGCTTTGTGCACTTATCCCATTTCGAGTTATTTAATCATCCATCGTTCTCATTTGAACCCAAACGGACCGCAGTTTGAATATTTTTCAATGCGACATCCGCGACATAAATGTTAGCAGCTTTCATCAAGTTAGTTTCAAGTCTACTTTTTCTCTTTCAGAGCGACGTTTTGATGAATGTGCTGCAGATAAATATTTTGCTACAAACGGTTTCCACGTATATATTTGCAGCTTCCCGAAAACGGATTCTGCAATTTGCATTTGGTCATTCAGTTACCCCGCTTGACCTTGGATGTTGTAACTGACCGATATGATTTGCAGCTTGTACAACTTGAAAATCATTCTGAAACCAAAAATGAGATTTTTTTTGGAACTGCAAAATTCTTAAGAACATTTCATTTGCATGGCGACTTGCATGCGTGAGTGGCGGGCTGGTTGTACTGGTAGGAGTATGATTTGTTGGTTTGTTGTTTAACGCCGTACTCAGCAATATTCCTGCTATATGGCTGTGGACTGTAATTGATCGAGACTGGACCAGGCAATACAGTGATCAACAGCATGAACACCAATCTACGCAAATGGGATACGATTGCATGTGTCGACCAAGTCAGCGAGCCTGATCACCCCGTTAGTTGCCTCTTACCCGGAGGCCAATTCTAACCCGGATCTTCGCGGGTTGGTCCGGTAGGATGTCGGTTTTACATAGTTTCAGTACAACGACATGCCATGTTGCAGGTAAACTTATATCACTCCTTTATTCCTTGTTCCTGTAATGTCATATCCATTATAACACCACTGTGTCGAAGTTGAAGGGACATACGCATATACTTCGAGTTATCCGAGGTTTGACACAACCGGAAATGATGACCAGATACAGAATACATAAATACCAAGCTTTTGCTTCGAAACTATCATATGTTCGACACATCAAATTCGACACTACCGGAAAATGATGACGAGATACAGAATACACAAATACCAATCTTTTTCTTCGAAACAACCATATGTTCGTCACATCAAGATTCGACATGGCGGTGTTTGACTACGTATTTCAAGTTCAAGAACCAAAACTTCCACAAATTAGGTTAATTTTGTCACACTAATTTTGCGTGTCCTTTACAAGAGATTGAATCACTCTCTCATTGTTTAGTTCAGCGCTACTAACAATTTTCCGACCCTTTGTCATTAGCGCTATCACACCGGGTCTCCGGTTTGGAAGAGGACCCCAACAACCTATGCATATCGTGAGAGGCGCTTTGATGGGTCGGTTGGTCAGGCTCGGTGACGTTATCGTTCCCAATTGCACAGATCTAGGCTCATGATGTCAATCACTGGAATGTAAGGTCCAGACAATAGGTTCAGATACTGATTCACAGAGTGGATCTATCACTGGATTGTCTGGTTCAAACGCCATTATTTACAGGCGACTATTATAAAGCCGGATTATGGCAGAGTTCGGCGTTACACAGCAAACGAAATAATATACAAATCAGAAAGTCCAAGAGTATGCAGTTTCTAGGCGCATAACATCGCTCTAAAAATACAAATTGTATCACTCAACCATTAATTATTGTTTTAAGTATAGCCTGAATGTTTCAAAATATGGCACATTTACAAGGCCAACTATTATCATTAAATGAAGGCGTTCCGCCAACCTGTGACATTATATTGACACTAAAGTGTTATTTAAACTGAGTTCAGTGGAACAAAGAGATGAAAGGGCTAATCAATTTATCTAAACACAAAGCAGAACTGTGAGTGGCTAAATCCTAAAACACCATGCTGCCTCACAGGGGAGAGTGTTCCGCGACCTACATACACAGGCGGAGGGACACTGGTGACAGACAGGTGTAAATGTCCACAGCGGGATGTCAGAAAGTAGTGCCAAGTAACGATATGCAAATGTGTTCTCAACGTCATGTGTTTGAAAGGATAATGTCCCTCTGTTACCACTTTTACACGGGCAGATTTTCTTATGATGTTGAATAAAAGCGACATCATTTGCATAATTTTTATAAGAAATCCATTCTACGAATCTGACTATCACAAGCTATGACTATGACTCATTTCAAATATTGACGGTGCCATGTGTTACCTTTTCTCTCATCTGACAGTGCAGGTTCAACTTTAAATACATCGAATGTATTTGTTTCATAAAATATTAAAACGAACCGTTATATTGATGAATGCACAGAGCCTGCAGCATACAAAAGACTGTCGCCGGGCCAAGGCGGGCCAAATCTATTATTGGCTAATAAACCAATTAACGAAAACCATGCCTACAATTAATCAATGCAACATACACTCGGGATAATAATGATCAATCGGAAGCCACAAACGCGTACCATAATAACTTTATTACGAGTAAATCGGCTAAAACCCAGGAAGACGAGAAGCCTGTGAACTGGCTGACCGAGGTTACGTCTAAAAGTGGAATCGTTAAACGAAACGGGATTTAAAACGTATAAATACTTCAGCCAATTCCGATCCGACACATTTCCGTCGGCCCGAAAATGTTTAAACATTTATATCCAATCACATACCACCCCATAAATTCACTATTCATCGTATTTAAAGCTTGACCAGATTTAAATCATACGATCTCTTCCCCACACTCTTAACATTATCTCGGCCACAATTTTCCGCCCGGCATGGCTCGAGCCGACAAAAGCAACTTAAACGTAACGCACGTAGCTTGAATTGTGTTTAAATCCATAGACTGGTATTATAGCTACCTGAATATCGCTTTGTAATGTTATAAAATGCAACATGTAAAGAAAACTGCTCCGTTAAAGTGAAGCCCTTGTCTCTCCCCAAACACAACATAGCCTCAATCAAAAGTGTTTAGTCTCTGTTCAGATCGGCTTGGCCCGTGCTGTCTAAAACAACTTAAAACCTCACACATGTATCTTGAAATGTATTTATATCCATAGATTAGTATTATATCTACCTACATATCACTTCACAGAGTCTCAAAGCGTAGTATTTGAAGCAAACACCTTGCTCAAAATGAAGCTATCTTTTCTACATATTCTCAATTAACAGTATCACAAGCGTTCGGTACGCCTTGGCCCGGTCTCTAAAAAACAACTTAAACCCCACACGTGTATTCTGATTTGTGTTTAAATCCATAGATTAGTATTATATCTACCTAAATATCAATGTGTGATGTTACAAAATGCTACATGTAAAGATAACTGGTTCGTTAAAGTTAGCCCTTTTCTCTCTCCATTCACAATATAGTCTCAATCAAAAGTGTTTAGTCTCTGTTCAGCTCGGCTTGGCCCGTGCTATCAAAAACTACTTAAACCTCACACATGTATCCTGATGTGTGTTTAAATCCATAGATTAGTGTTATATCTACCTACATATCACTTCACAGAGGCTCAAAGCGTAGTATTTGAAGCAAACACCTTGCTCAAAGTGAAGCCCTATTTTCTATACATTCTCAACAAAGACACAGTATCACAAGCTTTCGGTCCGGCTTGGCCCGGGCTCTCAAACGCACCTTATACCTCACAGATGTATGTTGAAATGTGTTTAAATCCATAGATTGGTGTTATATCTACCTAAATATCACTTTGTAATGTTATCAAATGCAACATGTAAAGATAACTGGTTCGTTAAAGTGAAGCCCTTTTCTCTCTCCATTCATAACATAGCCTCAATCAAAAGTGTTTAGTCTCTGTTCAGCCCGACTTGGCCCGTGCTGTCAAAAACACCGTAAACCTCACACATGTATTTTTAAATGTGTTTATATCCATGGATTAGTGTTATATCTACCTACAAACGTCTTTATAGAGTCTCAAAGCGTTGTATTTGAAGCAAACACGTTGCTTAAAGTGAAGCCCTATTTTTTATACATTCTCAACAAACAGTATCACAAGCGTTCGGTCAGCTTTGGCCCGGGCGCTCAAACGCACCTTATACCTCACAGATGTATCTTGAAATGTGTTTAAATCCATAGATTGGTATTATATCTACCTAAATATCACTTTGTAATGTTATCAAATGCCACCTGTAAAGAAAACTGCTCCGTTAAAGTGAAGCCCTTGTCTCTCCCCAAACACAACATAGCCTCAATCAAAAGTGTTTAGTCTCTGTTCAGCCCGACTTGGCCCGTGCTGTCAAAAAAACACCGTAAACCTCACACATGTATTTTTAAATGTGTTTATATCCATAGATTAGTGTTAGATCTACCTAAATATCACTTCACAGAGTCTCAAAGCGTAGTATGTGAAGCAAAAACGTTGCTGAAAGTGAAGCTCTCTTTTCTACATATTCTCAACAAAGACACTGTATCATAAGCGTTCGGTCAGCCTTGGCTCGGGCTTTCAAAAACACCTTAAACCCCACACATGTATCCTGATTTGTGTTTAATTCCATAGATTGGTATTATATCTACCTAAATATCAATGTGTGATGTTACAAAATGCCACCTGTAAAGAAAACTGCTCCGTTAAAGTGAAGCCCTTTTCTCTCTCCATTCACAACATAGCCTCAATCAAAAGTGTTTAGTCTCTGTTCAGCCCGTCTTGGCCCGTGCTGTCAAAACAAACTAAACCTCACACATGTATCTTCAAATGTGTTTATATCCATAGATTAGTGTTATATCTACCTAAGTACGTCTTTATAGAGTCTCAAAGCGTAGTATTTGAAGCAAACACGTTGCTTAAAGTGAAGCCCTAATTTCTATACATTCTCAACAACCACATAGTATAACATGCTTTCTGTCCGGCTTGGCCCGGGCTCTCAAAAACACCTTAAACCTCACACATGTATCCTGATTTGTGTTTAATTCCATAGATTAGTATTATATCTACCTAATTATCAATGTGTGATGTTACAAAATGCCACCTGTAAAGAAAACTGCTCCGTTAAAGTGAAGCCCTTTTCTCTCTCCATTCACAACATAGCCTCAATCAAAAGTGTTTAGTCTCTGTTCAGCCCGTCTTGGCCCGTGCTGTCAAAACAAACTAAACCTCACACATGTATATCTTGAAATGTGTTTATATCCATAGATTAGTGTTATATCTACCTAAGTACGTCTTTATAGAGTCTCAAAGCGTAGTATTTGAAGCAAACACGTTGCTTAAAGTGAAGCCCTAATTTCTATACATTCTCAACAACCACATAGTATAACATGCTTTCTGTCCGGCTTGGCCCGGGCTCTCAAAAACACCTTAAACCTCACACATGTATTTTGATTTGTGTTTAATTCCATAGATTAGTATTATATCTACCTAATTATCACTGTGTGATGTTACAAAATGCCACCTGTAAAGAAACCTGCTCCGTTAAAGCGAAGCCCTTTTCTCTCTCCATTCACAACATAGCCTCAATCAAAAGTGTTTAGTCTCTGTTCAGCCCGTCTTGGCCCGTGCTGTCAAAAACAAACTAAACCTCACACATGTATCTTCAAATGTGTTTATATCCATAGATTAGTGTTATATCTACCTAAGTACGTCTTTATAGAGTCTCAAAGCGTAGTATTTGAAGCAAACACGTTGCTTAAAGTGAAGCCCTAATTTCTATACATTCTCAACAACCACATAGTATAACATGCTTTCTGTCCGGCTTGGCCCGGGCTCTCAAAAACACCTTAAACATTCACACATGTATCCTGATTTGTGTTTATATCCATAGATTTGTATTATATCTACCTAAAAACGTCTTTATAGAGTCTCAAAGCGTTGTATTTGAAGCAAACACGTTGCTTAAAGTGAAGCCCTAATTTCTATACATTCTCAACAAAGACACAGTTTCACAAGCTTTCGGTCCGGCTTGGCCCGGGCGCTCAACGCACCTTAAACCTCACAGATGTGTCTTGAAATGTGTTTAAATCCATAGATTGGTATTATATCTACCTAAATACCTCTTTATTGAGGCTCAAAGCTTTGTACATGTATTTGAATCTAACACGTTGCTTAAAGTGAAGCCCAGTGTTCAATCTGGCTCTGTGCGGGCTAATGAAATTAATACACCTGTTAATTACACCTGTATCCAGCTTGTTTAATTGCCCCTTGACTAATTGCAATCAGCTAGGTGTTGTGATTCAATTAACATACTCCATTGTTGCCCTTAATTACCGTTCAGGGGCCTTCAGTGTTATTGATTATTACTCCACCGTTTCTTCATAACGTTTATCACAGAGGGCCATGTAATCACTGACTAAATTAGAAATGCTAAAAATGAGACATTTGTTCTATTATATATATATAAGTATTTATGCTTCCACTCGTGTTATGTTCCAGAGTATAACATTAATGAATACTAGTACCGATACAGATGGCAGGCTGAAGCTATTCGTGATATGATTTACACATATAAGTAACTTAATAAATATCAGAAGATATTATACCCAATTATATGACATGAAATGCTTGAAAGAGGTGGGGTTTTTTTTTAGTGGTTTCAGAATACAGGATGTTCTCCGTACAGTTTCCACAGTATAAACATCAATTCATACTAGTACAGATATAGATAGCCGGCTGAAGCTATTCATGATATCAGTAATTTAATAAATATCAGAAGGTATCAGCTAAAATGACTTGCCGTATGAGATGTTATGGTTATATAATTTGAACATACGAAAGTATGAAAACACATCCACGGCAATGACACTGTCTTGCCCAGCTCAGGCTCGGGAGAACATTGTTTTCACTGTGAGAGCTTTGCCAAAGGTTACTCGGTGATGCCGTTTCCTGATGTTGTGAACTTCAAGCGTTTCAGATAATCCTGTTTTCCTGAACACGCATACAGACAATAGAAGTATTAGAGAGAGCAGTGGGAGAAGTATGTTTTCATTAAATCCACAGTGTCTCGCCTAGCTTTCTCCAAATGCATCCATATAAAACTGGCCGAGCTGGGCAGTAGCAGCCTATATTCAAAGCATCTGATCTGAAAATGTCTGCATTACTTGTTGGCGACTCGTTGCTGAAGTATGTTGGACGTTATATGCAGAAAGAAGGGATCGTGACAAGGTCTCTGTCCGGAGCCAAGGTGGCTGACATTCCCGATCTCTTGTGGGACATGGAGAACTTTAAGGTAGGAAACAGTTGAAGAATGTCGGATTGTGCACAGAATGAGGATTATTTCACGCGCGTAGTCATAATATACCCATCATTGTGGATATCGGATGCTAAAAAGCGTATCTTATGTTTTGACCGCCCAAATCGAGTCATTTCTGAAGTGAGTTTTACTTCAACATTGTTTCCAGTTCATCATCGTCCACGTTGGGATCAACGACCTGGCGTACATGCCTAGGACGCCTGGGCAGGTCTTTGACAACTTCGCGAAACTGGTTGAAATTATAAGGAAGCAGAACCCATCTTATTTTATGCACCCGTTTAAAAACTTGTCAAGCTCAATCTGACATTTGAATACATGTTACGTTTTTATGGATAACAACTTCTTTTAATCTGACATTTACTTATATGAGGTCAAACGTCCAAGGCAGTGTCCGACTACAGATTGTTTAGATAAATTCCATTTTTCAGATTTCAGCGGGTGGGCAAAATATCTGGTGGATGCACATAATGTTTTGTATGCTATGTTACACAGAGCTGTGATACTCCTTTCCGGTGTCACCCCAAGATACCGGAATAGATGGCGACAAGGCCGTGGAAATCAGGATTCCCTCAACGAGAAGGCTTACACCCTCAACGAGAAAGTGAAACACTTTTGTGGTGAGAATGGATTGACCTATGTCGGCCACCCTAACTTCATGTCTTCCGGGGGAGTAAGGCAGGAGTTCATTGCCTGCGATGGGCTTCACCTGAGACCAGCAGGACAGAAGCAGCTGGCTTCAGATATTATCTGTGCTCTTTCGGCGGTATGTTATTCAGATAGGGATTATTGTTTGCATTCATCAAATACTTACTATATTAAAGTGCCATAAGGCCAAGTCTCCGGTTTGATGCACAACCTTCATTTACCGTGTACTTGCTTTCAGTACAGATGTGTATTTAAATTTCTGCTCTGTTTTCGGACAAATGGTAACAGCCAAAAGGCATCAATGATAATACTGTGTTGTGTTGTTTCGGCTGTCACCCGTTTGCTGTATTTAATCTATGGAATTAAACACAAATCAGGATGCATGTGTGGGGTTTAAGGTGTTTTTGAGAGTCCGGGCCAACCGGACTGAACGCTGTGATACAGTGTCTTTGGTGAGAATATGTAGAAAAGAGAGCTTCACTTTCAGCAACGTTTTTGCTTCACATACTACGCTTTGAGACTCTGTGAAGTGATATTTAGGTAGATCTAACACTAATCTATGGATATAAACACATTTCAAAATACATGGGTGAGGTTTAAGCTGTTTCTGACAGCCCGGACCAAGTCGGGCCAAACAGCGACTTAACACTTTTTGATTGAGGCTATGTTGTGTTTGGGGAGAGAAAAGGGCTTCGCTTTACCGGAGCAGTTTTCTTTACATGTGGCATTTTGTAACATCACACATTGATATTTAGGTAGATATAATACTAATCTATGGAATTACACACAAATCAGGATATATGTGTGGGGTTAAGGTTGTTTTTGAGAGCCCGAGCCAAGCCGGACAGAAAGCATGACTGTGATACTGTGTGGTTGTTGAGAATGTATAGAAAATAGGGCTTCACTTTAAGCAACGTGTTTGCTTCAAATACTACGCTTTGAGACTCTATAAAGACGTACTTAGCTAGATATAACACTAATCTATGGATATAAATACATTTCAAGATACATGTGTGAGGTTTAGTTTGTTTTTGACAGCACGGGCCAAGACGGGCTGAACAGAGACTAAACACTTTTGATTGAGGCTATGTTGTGAATGGAGAGAGAGAAAAGGGCTTCACTTTAACGGAGCAGTTTTCTTTACAGGTGGCATTTTGTAACATCACACAGTGATATTTAGGTAGATATAATACCAATCTATGGAATTAAACACAAATCAGGATAAACACTTTTGATTGAGGCATGTGTGGGTTTAAGGTGTTTTTGAGCGTCCGGACCAACCGGACTGAAAGCATGTGATACAGTGTCTTTGTTGAGAATATGTAGAAAAGAGAGCTTCACTTTCAGCAACGTTTTTGCTTCACATACTACGCTTTGAGACTCTGTGAAGTGATATTTAGGTAGATCTAACACTAATCTATGGATATAAACACATTTCAAAATACATGTGTGAGGTTTAAGCTGTTTCTGACAGCCCGGACCAAGTCGGGCCAAACAGCGACTTAACACTTTTGATTGAGGCTATGTTGTGTTTGGGGAGAGAAAAGGGCTTCGCTTTAACGGAGCAGTTTTCTTTACATGTGGCATTTTGTAACATCACACAGTGATATTTAGGTAGATATAATACTAATCTATGGAATTAAACACAAATCAGGATATATGTGTGGGGTTAAGGTTGTTTTTGAGAGCCCGAGCCAAGCCGGACCGAAAGCATGACTGTGATACTGTGTGGTTGTTGAGAATGTATAGAAAATAGGGCTTCACTTTAAGCAACGTGTTTGCTTCAAATACTACGCTTTGAGACTCTATGAAGTGATATTTAGGTAGATCTAACACTAATCTATGGATAGAAACACATTTGAAGATACATGTGTGAGGTTTAGTTTGTTTTGACAGCACGGGCCAAGTCGGGCTGAACAGAGACTAAACACTTTTGATTGAGGCTATGTTGTGAATGGAGAGAGAAAAGGGCTTCACTTTAACGGAGCAGTTTTCTTTACAGGTGGCATTTTGTAACATCACACATTGATATTTAGGTAGATATAATACTAATCTATGGAATTAAACACAAATCAGGATACATGTGAGAGGTTTAAGGTGTTTTGAGAGCCCGGGCCAAGCCGGACCGAAAGCATGTTATACTATGTGGTTGTTGAGAATGTATAGAAATTAGGGCTTCACTTTAAGCAACGTGTTTGCTTCACATACTACGCTTTGAGACTCTATAAAGACGTACTTAGGTAGATATAACACTAATCTATGGATAGAAACACATTTCAAGATACATGTGTGAGGTTTAGTTTGTTTTTGACAGCACGGGCCAAGACGGGCTGAACAGCGACTAAACACTTTTGATTGAGGCTATGTTGTGAATGGAGAGAGACAAGGGCTTCACTTTAACGGAGCAGTTTTCTTTACAGGTGGCATTTGATAACATTACAAAGTGATATTTAGGTAGATATAATACCAATCTATGGATTTAAACACATTTCAAGATACATCTGTGATGTAAAAGGGTGCGTTTGAGCGCAAGGGCCAAGCCGGACCGAACGCTTGTGATACTGTTTGTTGAGAATGTATAAAAAATAGGGCTTCACTTTAAGCAACGTGTTTGCTTCAAATACTACGCTTTGAGAGTCTATAAAGACGTTTGTAGGTAGATATGTAGATATAACACTAATCTATGGATATAAACACATTTCAAGATACATGTGTGAGGTTTAGTTTGTTTTTGACAGCACGGGCCAAGTCGGGCTGAACAGAGACTAAACACTTTTGATTGAGGCTATGTTGTGAATGGAGAGAGAAAAGGGCTTCACTTTAACGGAGCAGTTTTCTTTACAGGTGGCATTTTGTAACATCACACATTGATACTTAGGTAGATATAATACCAATCTATGGAATTAAACACAAATCAGGAGACATGTGTGGGGTTTAAGGTGTTATTGAAAGCCCGAGCCAAGGCTGACCGAACGCTTGTGATACAGTGTCTTTGTTGAGAATATGTAGAAAAGAGAGCTTCACTTTCAGCAACGTTTTTGCTTCACATACTACGCTTTGAGACTCTGTGAAGTGATATTTAGGTAGATCTAACACTAATCTATGGATATAAACACATTTCAAAATACATGTGTGAGGTTTAAGCTGTTTCAGATAGCCCGGACCAAGTCGGGCCGAACAGCGACTTAACACATTTGATTGAGGCTATGTTGTGTTTGGGAGAGAAAAGGGCTTCACTTTAACGGAGCAGGTTTCTTTACATGTGGCATTTTGTAACATCACACAGTGATATTTAGGTAGATATAATACTAATCTATGGAATTAAACACAAATCAGGACATATGTGTGGGGTTAAGGTTGTTTTTGAGAGCCCGAGCCAAGCCGGACCGAAAGCATGACTGTGATACTGTGTGGTTGTTGAGAATGTATAGAAAATAGGGCTTCACTTTAAGCAACGTGTTTGCTTCAAACTACGCTTTGAGACTCTATAAAGACGTACTTAGGTAGACATAACTCTATTCTAGAGATATAGACAGAAATCAGGATACATGTGTGAGGTTGAAGGTGTTTTTGACAACACGGGCCAAGTCGGGCTGAACAGCGACTAAACACTTTTGATTGAGGCTATGTTGTGAATGGGAGAGAAAAGGGCTTCACTTTAACGGAGCAGGTTTCTTTACAGGTGGCATTTTGTAACGACACACATTGATATTTAGGTAGATATAATACTAATCTATGGAATTAAACACAAATCAGGATACATGTGTGAGGTTAAAGGTGTTTTTGAGAGCCCGGGCCAAGCCGGACCGAAAGCATGTTATACTATGTGGTTGTTGAGAATGTACAGAAATTAGGGCTTCATTTTAAGCAACATGTTTGCTTCAAATACAACGCTTTGAGACTTTATAAAGACGTATTTAGATAGATATAACTCTATTCTTTAGATATAGACACAAATCAGTATACATGTGTGAGGTTTAAGCTGTTTCTGGCAGCCCGGACCAAGTCGGGCCGAACAGCGACTTAACACTTTTGATTGAGGCTATGTTGTGTTTGGGGAGAGAAAAGGGCTTCACTTTACCGAACCAGTTATATTTACATGTGGCATTTTGTAACATCACACATTGATATTTTAGGTAGATATAATACTAATCTATGGATTTAAACACAAATCAGGAGACATGTGTGGGTGAAAGTTGTTTTGAAAGCCCGAGCCAAGGCTGACCGAACGCTTGTGATACAGTGTCTTTGTTGAGAATGTAGAAAAAGAGAGCTTCACTTTCAGCAACGTTTTTGCTTCAAATACTACGCTTTGAGACTCTGTAAAGTGGTATGTAGGTACATATATTACTAATCTATGGATATAAACACATTTCAAGATACACGTGTGAGGTTTAGGTTGTTTTTGACAGCACGGGCCAAGTCGGGCCGAACAGAGACTAAACACTTTTGATTGCGGATTTTGTTTTCCGAGGACTTTTTCCCCTAAATTGTTAGGAATGGAGAGAGAAAGGGGCTTCACTTTTACTTTACTTGATGAAGTGGTATTTAGGTAGATATAATACCATTTTGTGTTTCATGTGTATTAGTAAATATAAGCATATGCATACGCGCTGGCTATCTGATTTGGACTGGTATTGTTTACAATGAAAACACATAAGAATTTTTGTGTTTGTGAATGCATACTTTGTTTGATCCTTAATAACATATAACAAAATGTTGTGATTTCAAATATTTCTTTTAATATACATAATCATGTCATATTTGCCCATTGACACTCGCCGATATCCACGTCTCTTTAACATAAACATCCTGTGCTCATTCAGCATGAGACAATAAAGGTTAATTAGGGAACCCCAATATCTTAATTAAGGAAAGAAAAGCAGTCAAAACACTGTCACTTCCTGCCCAGGACCCCAGGATGTCACTCGCTAAGAGAAGTAAGCAACCTTCCCTCATATCAAGGAAAACACATAACAACAAGACGGTGTCTTTTCTACAGGAATCTCGGTATGTAGTCATTGTTGTTGTGTGGGTTTTTTCACCATTAACTATATATTTTCAATCAAACTATGCATTTGTGAAGGCAGGAAAAGTATCGACCTAAATGTGCAGGTTTCGTTTT